AATTTTTTCATAAGACAAGTTTGATGTAAAATTTTCCGCTCTTTCGAAATCCGCAGTCAAAAATAGGGTGTCCCATTAGAAAAAACCATCGTGACCTTGAAGTAACCTTCAAAATTGACCTCAAGGTCAAAACCAATGGTACAATTGAATGACCCCCTCTGTCCTGGTCAACTTTTATCTAAACCATTTTTTTGTAGATACCGTAATTTGGAAGATATTCGGATCCATAGACTAAAATGACTCACCCTGTATATTACTAATGTATGAATATATATTTAATTTATAAATATATTATATAATCAAAACCACTGTGACGTGGCGGCCGTGGAGGCGCCCGTCTCAAGAGTACCGTACCGGATTTGTGTGAGAGTTTTCGCGTATCACGTCGCTAACGGTTTTCGCGAGTATTCTCGAATGTCGCGTTCCGGCGTGTGTTTGTTTGTGAACGTCGTTAGAACAAAGATCGGAAGCGACTTTTGCGAGCGGAGCAGATATGGAGGTCAGCGCGTCCCTAACTTTGTGTACACCCCGACGCCCCGGCCGGCCACCAGGGCTGGAGGAGCGGAGGCCACCGAAGGACGAGAACGCAGCGACCGCCAACTCCATACAACGCACGATCAGGTGAATCGCTCTCTCTCATTATTAGATATTGCCGTATACCGGATTATCGCGCGCTCAATATTCGTGAACCTCGTACCGCTGAGAATATGTCGAAATAAGGAAGCAGTATTCTGTCAGCGATGTTTACTTCTAGCGAAACAGCCGTCACGAGAGCCGGAAAAAAAGACGGGAGCGCCGAGACAGACAGCGAGATGATCCGCAACGTCAACGGGAGCGGTGCACTTGGACACGGTGCATTTGGACACAGCCAATCACAGCACCGTGTGATTAGAGACATTTGTAGGGTCCCTTGGAACAGCGACTTGTGATTGGACTGTGTCCAATTGCCCCGTGTCCAACTGATATACACCCACGTCAACATGGTCTCGAGGCATAACCGTCTCGAGACCAGAATACCGATAATTGCCGATTCCCGACTACCGAAAATTGCAGGACGAGGAGAGAAGGGACAAATGAGGATACGCGAGGATACGCGATCCTCCCGGAACGGCAGCTGATCAGCCTTACCGCGACCGTTGCCGCGACCGGACTTGTCAACCTGCGTGCGACTACCGTACCGAGAGTGAAAGAGCGAGAGAGAGAGAGAGAGAGAGCGCGCGAAGTGAGTGAGGCGAGAGAGAGCGTGGAAGTTGAGTGCGACAAAAGTGGAGGGAGAGCCAGAGAGAGAGAGAGAGAGAGAGAGAGAGAGAGAGAGAGAGAGAGAGAGAGC